CCCCAAGGGACTATTAAAACTCGGAGTGGTACTTTTTATGGTCATGACAAATAGCTTACTGGCTAATTGGCATCTCCGTACAAAATTCGTGGATGATACTTCAGCCCTCGAGATTATTCCTAGGAATTCTATCAGCCTCCTTAATTTTGCAGTCTCTGATATACATGAATTTGCTAATGAACATAACATGAAGCTCAATCCTAAGAAGTGTAAGGAAATGCTTATAAACTTCCTACATAACCCCAATTTCTTACTCCGACCAATCCAAATTGGTAACAATATTATTGAGCGTGTGACAACGTATAAATCTTTGGGTCTCATTTTGAGTAGCGACCTAAAATGGAATCCCCATATCGAATACATTGTTAAGAAGGCTAACAAAAAACTATACCCTTTAAGAGCCCTGCGAAGAGCTGGGGTTGACCAAAAGAATTTACTGAAAGTGTACCTGTGCACAGTAAGACCGGTACTTGAGTACGCCGTCCCTATTTGGCAAAACATTCCGGATTATCTATCGAAGGAAATTGAGTCGGTCCAAAAACGAGCACTAAAGATAATTTTCTCGGAGAGCGAGTCATATGCGGAGGCCCGGAATTCTGCACAACTACCAACTTTAACCACAAGAAGAATGCAAATATGTCAGAAATACATGGTCAGAATGAGGCGAGAAAACCATCCCTTATTGCCAATCCCTGTTGTTCCTGACCATGACATTAATTTGAGACAGAACACTGATCGATTTTATCTATTTAATAATGTTACTGATTGCAGAACAATTAAAGCTCAATCCTTTTTTACATTTAAATACTCTTAATATGTTAAGATTTTTTTAATATATATGAAAATTGTAAATAATTATGCATGCACTATTTACTATTTTGGTAAATGCCTAATGATTTTAACTCTTGTAAATAGCCTAGATTCTAAAGCATATCCATGTACTATTTTATAACATATTCTTATCTATTGTAAAGTACTCGTTAATTCAGTTGTTTCTGTAACTGCAAGAGAGTCCTAATAAACTATTATTATTATTATTATTATTATTATTATTATTATTATTATTATTATTATTATTATTATTATATAGCTATGGACGCTGTGAAAAAAGGTCATAAAACATGAAGCAAAAGCATTAGCGCGCACAGCTATAATACAGTATATACGTATACTACATATATTTAAAGGTAGTGACATTCGATTATGTTTATTAATTTATTTCACGAAGATTAATTTTGTTCCGGTTTATTGGAAAATTTACATCTTTTGAAAACCTATATGTTACATTAAAACTTGGCATTGCCAATTTACCATTACGGCACTAGTAAAACATTTATAATTTGCGGTTTCTCTTGCGGTTTCAATGCGGTTCAACTCGACCGAACTTCAACCTAACCTCAACCGAACCTCAACCGAACCTCAACCGAACCTCAACCTAACCGCAGCCTAACCTCAGCCTAACCGCGACCTAACCGCAAACTAACCGCAACCTAACCGCGACTCTAACCGCGACTCTAACCGCAACCGCACTGTTAGGTTATTTCTGGACAGTACTGTACATGGTAAAAGCCTATAAAGGTGAGTTTTTTACAAGATTTGACATTTACATATTTACAGCAATACTACATAAAGTTGCTGCTAAGGCCCGTTTCACATAAATTCGAAATAAAACTATTAAGAATTAAAGGTTCGGCACATGGATAGTTCGACGTCTGAAACAGGCCTAATGAAAGCCAAAGGAATATAGCCATTATTACTAGTGTTAGGCCCCCTTTTATATACGTAGAATTTGGGTGGCTTCGAATGCAGTTCATGGAAAATGAGACAACTCGCCTCATCTATAGTGTTTGAATTGCATTCGACCTGACCAAAATTCGACGTATAAAACGACCCTAAACTCTATCAATTTTATAACTTATGAGAACTAAAATATGGACGTTCAGCAGCTTCTATTTTTTGTTCCTTACTTTCATCAGGATAGCTTTAGCATATTTTAGCTTGTTCCTAAGAGCTTTTGCATGAAGACATGCTGTTATGTCTTCTTGAGTAGCAACTTTGTTGTTTTTCGGGTAAAAATCGTTTTCCCATTGACCAAGTTCTGCACGGAGTAGGCGTTCTTGCTTTGAAATTTTGACCTCCATAACAGCCACCCTTTTCATAAACTTGCCAAGAATGAACTTATCAGAAGGTGACTGCTTATGTTTCTGCCGTACTTTGTCAAATTCTAAAACTTCAGCTGACTTCCCAAGAACAAACTCAATTCCTTTTCCTAACTTTGTCACACATGTGTCATTACCCATTGTACCAGAATTTGGCATTGCGGTTCCAGGATTTTCAACAACTGCAACTCTTGAGCAGCTTGTGCTACCTGTAACAAATTAATGTACATGTGACTTGATAATCTAAGACACATGTATTTATATTTTTCTGAGAAATGTAGCACAACTGTGTGTTGTGAATATATCAATAACTCATGACTATAGAGTCATTGTGTATAAGTGTACAAGTAAAGCCCTGGACAAGATTTATAAGGGGGCCTGATTATCCCACCAGGCGGGACTGGATGCTTACCGAGATCCTGCTCGTAATACAAATTCGAAAGAGTGTTTATATGATCCTGTCATTTATCCCGCCTAGACGGGATCTTGGCAACAGATGCCGCCTCAACGTGATGGAAAATAAACACTTCATCCCGCCTAGCCGGGATGAAAAACTCCTATATAAACAATTCATCCAGGCTAGGTGGGATGAACTTTTCCCTTTTGAACATGCATGTTGCCTTTATTGCAACAAAAATATGATGTCAAGCACTTAAATGGCTTCATCGCAATGGCAACATCCTGTCCAGGCAGGATTATAGGCCTATAAACAGACCCTAAGTTTTGAACAGTTTTGAACAGTACGTACCAGTAATATTAATGGTTTTCTCCAATGTTGTAGGATCTGATACAACTGAACTTTCAACTCTTGAACAGCCTGTGCTATCTGTAATGTCAAAAATAACAGGTAATTTGTTAGCTTGTTTCTATTTTGTGTTTATTTTATATTCTTTGTGTTTATTTATTTATCATTCTTTTGTGATTTTGCACAACTGGTTGTATACTGGTTGTATTCTCAATCAAGCGATAAATGCATGTATATATAGAGGACGATTTTATTATTCAGATTATTGTACTCACTGATGAAGCCTTAACCGGCGAAACGTCTGAGGAATTTAATAAATAATCTCACAATTTGCCTGAAGAAGTCCCTTTTTTGGTTTAAAATAAACCAACCGTCAGAAATAATCCAGGCATGACAATCAAAACCTATTCATATATATTATATATATATATATATATATATATATATATATATATATATATATATATATATATATATATATATATATATATATATATATATATATATATATATATATATATATATATATACCAGTATCATTACCAAATGGTATTGATGTGTTTTTAGTTGCAATGTTGCTCTTGATTGTTGAATGGTTAAATGCAGTCATTTCATCTTTGTGTTGATCATTGTCTTCAGGGTACATGGATGGTAAATTAATGGTCTCGTCAGGATGGAGCTCAAATCCAACAATATCTGGCTGTGGAAATTCTTCTGGCAGGTAACCTGTATTGTAAAGCATCAACATATACAACCACGTACCCAGGGTATTTTCTCGGGGAGCGTAATACCCTAGTACACCATGCAATGATGATGTCACCCCCAGATTTTGAGTAAAATAGCATATTTCTACTAGGAAAAATATATTTTACCTAAAATCTGGGGGTGACGTCATCAGTCCATACCAGGGTATTTTGCTCCCTGAGAAAATACCCTGGGTATACAAGCTAGGTTTAACATATATAGTGAAAAAGGATCTTGTAATTTGACAAGTTAACACATTAAAGAGGCATTTCCTTTCATTAATATTAAAATCATCTCATCTGGTATTAGACAGACTAAAATAATATTAACTTGGGTGTACTAGGGTGCCTGCATGTACTGCAACCTCGTACTGTACCCAGGGTTTTTCTTCTTGGCGAGGGAAGAACAGACCCTGGTAGATGCTGGTCACATGATAAGCCAAAATCTAGCAGATTTTTAATTAGCAATCCAAGATGAGGTCAATAAATATTTGATATTTGGATGATTTTTTTTTTGTCAATTTATAATTTGCATTTTGTACGATGGTTGTAAAGGAATCCAAGGTAGTTAATTAGAAATCTGCTAGGTTTTAGCAGATCACGTGAGCAGCGTCTACCAGGGTCTTTTCTCCCAAGAGGAAAGACCATGGGTACGAGGTTGCCCGTACTGCTCCTTCGGACTAGTGGTTCCGGTTCCCGACTGACCCTATTTCTTTCTGCCGACCCTATTATTTTTTCAACGCGATTGACTGTGCAACCTTATTCTCTCCGGGTGGTTGTGGGCTGCTCATACAGCGTGCCAAAATGGCATCTGTTGTCACACTGATTATTGAACCAAATTGCCTAAATTAGTAAATTCGTCCATACGCATCTCTAGTTAATATTGATGTCGGGACTCAACCTCGTTCCCAGGCTCTTCCCTCTTGTGAGCCTGGGAACGAGGTTAGTCGGGACTCTACTGCAAATCGCCCAGCAAAAAACCGCCAAAACCATGAAAAAAATATTAAAAAAAAAATTATTTCTGACCTACTGACCCTAATTTTTTCACGATATGAAACCGGAACCACATGCAGGCATTTTTTTTAGGCCTTAACCATGTTGAAATTTTTTGAGATCCTTAATTAAAATTGTTTGTATGATTTGAGACTGCATTACCTGTAACTGATTGTTCCTCAATACCAACACTGATGTTGCCATTTGTGGTGTTGATCTCCTCCAATGATCTTCTTATAACCTTCAACTGACCATGCCTATCTTCAACTCGAATATCTTTGATAGGAAGGGTTGCGCTATTCTTTAAGCATTCATTCCAACACTTTTGAAGGTACTCTTCCTCTCTAGTAAAACTACTCGAGCGAAAATGATGAAGTATAGGACCTCCTGTGTGAGAGCTTGCTGCCTTTTCCCCATCCAAGAATTCCACATTTCCACTTTCATCTTCAAGCCACCAGCTTCCTTTGCCAGGTAAGAGGAAGTCGCTAATCCTTTCTAGATGAGATTGCCATGATCTTATGTGCTTCTTTATAAGGTCTCCAGAAATGATGGTGTTTCCGTATGGTGAAAGGGAGTCTGCAAGCTTAGAAACAGATGTTTCCTGATTCAAGGAAGAAGAGCCTTGAAAAGCTTGCATCTGTTTCTCAGCTTGCAGTCGGATGAAGATATTGCCAATGATGTGACTTGGGTGGTAGGAGGATGTTGACTTTGTGATGTTGGTGATGGTGTTGAAAATCCGTTCTTGCTCTTCAACATTACAGGCTTTGCCATTAATTAGTCGATGCTGCATAGCAGCATGGCTGGTGATGTTGTGGTAGTAGTTGCCGTACAATTTGCGCGTTGTCAGTTCCTTTAGCTTGAAACCAAACACCTCTCTGCACAAGATCCCATGGTACCATGTCATGTTGTGAAGACGCAGGACTGATTTGGGGGTCTTCTCAGATTCCGAACTGTAAGCAATTCTTTGGATTTCTACCAAGGTGGTCAATAGTTGCTGGACAATGTTGGATGTTACTATCTTTGAGGAATGTTTTGCAAGGATAATAAGTGCACATCTATAATCAAATGTGCGCTTGGTATCCTTACCACCAATGGAGTAATTGATGACCTCCTTCACAGCAGCAGCTTCTTTTTCTGGGAGATGAAAAGGGAGTTCAGCTAGAACATTTTTAATGTGTTTGCCTATGTCGTGGAGGGGTTCAAAACTAAGTATTTCATACTTGTCACAGTTGATGGATTCCATGGTAGCTGTTGGGTTGTTGTAAAGCAAAGCAGGTACTCTCTGAACGCCGTGGAGTTCCTCTGTCAAAAGCTTCTCAAGCTCTTTCTTTGACTCCCCTTCATAGATTCCTCTGGCATTCAGTTCTCGAATAAGTTCATCTTTCTTTAACTTTTGAAATGGCTTGGGATGGCTTTATATCGGTGCTTAGTTCTTCCAAACATTCCAGACGTGTATCAACGTATGTGAGTTGTTCAACATCTGAACTTCCCGACCGCGCAACTATGTAGACTTCCGGCGTTTTCACCTTCGTTTGAAGGTCTGTGTTTTTGCAGCCAGTGAGATTTTGGTGCTCGCTATCAAGGTAATGGATTGCAGGATCATATAGGGATGACACCATAAAAACCAAATGGCCGTGGTTAGCAATCGTTGATAGATCATGCCAAACTTTCAGATGCCTTGTTCTCTCAATATCTTTTAGCCTATCCCGCATCGACTGCACATTTTCGTCTTCATGGTACTCGTTTATTGCTTTGAGACACGTTATCAAACTTTCACTTGTCATTTTATCGTACTCGTCATCACATCGTTGTCGCATGTACTTCTCCTGGCTTTTCAATGTTCGTTCTCTAATCTCGACCAAAGGCTGCTTTCGTCCTTCCACAACAAACTCAGATCTAACTATCTCTCCATTTTCATTTAATGCCATCTTTTCATACTAAAATCGAGATGAAAATGGAATGGAATGTTTGCTTCAAGATTAATGATTAACAAATTACTTACAATACAGACCCTGTAAATAGATCAGACCCTAGAGAAATCTACAGTACATCTGATTATTGCATTATTTTTTATCCTGTCTATCAATCTCGGCCCTGTCTATCATAGCAATGAAGTAAAATAATACTGTTTGGCACTGACCTTTCTTGGTGCAATTTGTTGCCCAACAGTATATTCGCCAGATGAAATCTTCTTCCTTATCTCAGCTTTCACCTTGTCAATATTCTGCGGAGTTGCAACCGTAATTTCCCCTCCTTGTCCCCTAAGTTTCTTTCTCCGGACTCGCATATCACTTCCATCATTCTTACGTTTGAACCTGTTAATGTTCACGCCCTCTTTTTTTAGCCACTCCTGAGCTATCTGCCCTCCATTTTTTGCCAATTCCCCCTTGGTGTTGGTGATATTGTGTCGCCGAGCCAAATCTGACCAGTTGACAGCAATACCATCAGGATAGCTTTCTATTTCTTCCTTCATTTTCTCTCGCTCGAATACTCTATTGTTCACATTCCCAACAGGATTACGTTTTTTCAAACCATTGCTCATCTCATTTCGCTTCTTCGCATCATCCTTGCTCTCAAATGCCATAGTGAGGCGTGATCTTCGTGCGGCTGATAATGATTGGCGGTTTCCATAACACCTTAATCATGTGATTACATTGATTTATTAGTTTTATTACATTTTATAGCTTTCCTAGCAATATATTTACCCTTATATTACGAGTACGTTTATCATAATCTGTTACAAATGAAATTTATAATTAGTGAAATTTAACATACGTACCTCATTACAGATGTACTCTTCCAGTGTTTTTCAATGGACGTTTTGGCTTTACGTAATTGTTTGCGTCTTTCTCTTTTTCTTTCAGTGGCACTCCTACTCGTCTGAATGTTCAGGGTCGGAAGAGTCGTCAGGGCTTTCTCAAGAGGGACGTTAAACACGCGTTCGAAAACTGGGTTGATTTCGTCATAAACCTTCTGAACGCCAGCTTGATACTCACGTCGGGTGCATTTCACTTGGCCGGGTTGTTGAATTATTTTACCCGCGATATTTTTTGCCACGATCGCTGGATTTTGTTTTAAACAGCCTTGAAATTCCTTGGATTGGACAGGAAAGAACGACTGTTGTATTGAATACTTGTGGAAACAGGTACGACAGTCTGTCAAGCTATGTTCGGCCTTGTGTTCGATCGACAATGCCTTCCAGTTATCTGCGGAGAAAGCCTCGAAATATTGCTCGCGTTCCGTCTTTTTCCTAGGATTCCAGTTGCTGATTTTCTTGCGCAAGTCTGGCAGTTTCCTCATGAAGGTTTTAAAGTCAACTGCGAACTTCTTGCCGGGGAAACTTTGGGAGAAACGTTCATGAATAACTTGAACTGTACGCACGCGATGCTGATATGGCGTTTCATTGTTGACGCGCTTTATTTTGACTGAAGCATCTCTGGTAATTCGCCAAATTGCTGCCTTCGCAAATCCACACGTATGTGGGTGAATAAGACTTACAACCATACCGTTAAAGTTAAACACTTTGATAAATTTTAGGTATACGCGCACTTCGAGACGTTAGTCGATCGAAGCAAGTTTTGAATCTGGCGCCTTAATTTTAATCACGCGCGTCTAGTTTTGACAGATTATAATCTTAAATCACTTATGAATAAGGCTCTTGTTTCATCATAACACTCAAGAATTTCACCTACGCAATATTGCCTTTGAAATCTATACTTAGTATGTCGTCTTTGCTATACATTTTTATTATATTATAACGTGTAGACGCGCTATCGTATGATACAAAGTTCTGCATAGATTTGTGTGAAAAATAGTTCTGTTGTATGCTTCGCGCGTACATTAGCTAATTCCTCTCACATATATGTTTAGTTTCCGTGTATTAAATTGTCGGTTTTAACAATGCGAAAAGCAAAATGTGTCTTGAAACACGAATTATGCCTTCCGAGTTATTATGATCGCCATTTTGAGCGTTTTGGGTTGCCATGGCTATGTGGGAATCCGCTGTATTTACAATCAGGGCTCATTCGACACAAATGGCGCTTATTTTACGATCTATTTACTTCGTGAATGTCAAACTTCAACGGCCTTGCAGGAGAGGTTTTTATTATCAACCATTAAAGGCTTAAGCGCTACTAATCTGGAAAATATTTTGAACTTGCTAGGAAAACTCGTAAAGTGAAATGATTTGCGCTAGAACTAACTTTAATGTGCGAAAATATGGAAATAGGTACGCGAGTTTCGACTTAGAATCCATTTTACGCTGTTATAATACCAGATTTCCACAGATACAAGGTTGAATATTATAGAGGGGTTCCTTGACAATGCATTAACAATTCAAATATTTTTCAACGACTCTCTTATCCTTCCCTGCAAGGCGGTCGAAAAAGAACAATGCTTTTGTTACTATTTTTAGACTAATAATTGGTCACGTGACCAGTTTTTCAAAATTCTGTGTTCGTTAAAAAAATTCTGTAATCATATTGAACAGCATTAACGCTTAAAACCGGGCCAGTTTTACTTAAAATCCTTGTAAAATAATATTTTCTTTAATTTCATTATTTATTGCTACTTGTGAAACCTGACCCAGTCATTAAACCACCTGAGCAGAGCTGTAGCTACAATCTTTGACAATATACTATGGGACAATGTAGTTTCAAAAACGTTATATAGACATTGTACAACTTTTCCACGTGAATATTCACCCCTCCCTCCCCCCACCCTTTTCAATGTTGCGTTGATGCCAGATGTCGTCTCGTTTGCGATGTATCCATTTTTTGTGACATCAACATTGAACGGGGGGCGCGGGGGGAAATGGACAGAAGAAGTTATATGAACTTTCACTATTTGTCTCATAGTTTTTGGCAAAGATTGTCTATATCATGCTCGGTGAGTTACACTTCTAAAAAACTGAAGTTAACTTTACGATTACAGAGTCAAGTGCCCGTAGTTTGGGCGCTTGGCGTGATGTAATCAATGCGTATAACCGTTTTGTAATATGTACATCGTTACTCTATTGTACGGCGTCATTACTATATTTAGATGGTTGTTTTTCGAGGTTACGTAATTTGCATAAGTTTGCGCTTTTCTAATAATAAAAACAGGAACATTACAGAGAAGTATTGCTCGAGTTACGTTTACTTCACAGTGACTAAGGATTACACAAGCCACACAGGTACTTGAGAACAATTACATTAAGCCCAACCTTGATGACGTGACTGATTACATGTCGTAAGCGCAATGCGGCTACAGTGAGTGAATACCAATTGATTATTTCAATAAAAATGATCAACCATACCAACATTACGGATCAGATGCGTGGACATGTGGTTTATCTTGGCGCGAAGGAAAAATATTCGCTACGAAAAATTGCGCAAAAGGCGGGTGTTTCGAAATCAACTGTTCGTCGTATTTTAAGTAAAAGCAAAAACCAACCTTTATCAGCGGAAAGACGAGGAAGGCCCAAAAAACTGTCACCTCGAGATAGACGGCACTTATATTGAGATCATTATTTAAATTGCGCGAAAACAATCCTGGCTTTTCAACTAAATCTTTGGTTGCTTACAGTGGACTCAATTTACCCGGCATTTCGTACAGAACATTTTATCGAGAGCTGCGTAGTGAAGGTTTTCAGTATCTACAAGCGCGCAAGAAAGGACTAGTAAGTCGATCGGACCGCGTTAAACGAGTGAAGTTTGCACGAGAATGTAAGAAAATACTACAAAATGAGCCTACGTATTTCCGCGAGGTTATTGCCTTTTATCTCGACGGTGTTTCATTCGTGTACAAGCCAAGACCAATGGGGCAAGCCGTAGCACCAAAGGGTAAAGTGTGGCGAAAAAGAGCCGAAGGTTTAAAGATTACGGCTAAACGATCCAAAAACCTGGCAGGGGGAAAGCGCTTGCATTTACTTGTCGCAATTGCATACAACAGGGGAGTGTTTTTCGTTGAGGAATATACGAAGATGAATGGCGCATATTTCAGTGATTTTGTAAACAGAAATTTCCCGGTCCTATTTCATGGACGAGAATGCAGAAAGATGTTTATCATGGATAACGACCCTTCGCAAACAAGTACCGTGGCATTGAAAGCTATCAAGGATCAAGCTGCGCAGCTTTTCTGTATACCTGCTCGTTCACGCGACCTCAATCCAATTGAAAATGTTTTCCATATGGTCAAAAGCAATCTACAGATGCAGGTTCGAGCGCAGGGAATCAATCATGAAACATGGATGGAGTTCAAGGAGAGATTTTCTAAAACACTGCTAGATACTTCTGTAGATTTTATAAATAACTTAATAACGAGTATGCCTAGACGCATCGACGCAGTAATGGCCGGAAAGGGCTAAAGAACCAAATATTAGCACGTTTGTTCGCTAGGCACGTGACACTGAGCTCACTAGGCAACGAAGCTCACTTAAATCTAGACCTTATATTGCATCTTATA